CTTTCACGTAAGCTTCCTTTCTCTGAGGAAAATCGTTAAAATATATGCGCACCATTAAAAAAATGTCAGTATATAAATAAAAGTAGCACAGTGAAGGCCAACTACATATGTACATACATATGTAATCCGCAAGTGAGCATGCTGATGTACTTACATATGTACACTATGTGCATACCCTGCAAAAAATTGTGCGACTAATCTCTAAAGAGAGTTTTCCGAGATTCCTCTCAATCGGGTACAATTGGGCATTAATTAGTCGCAACTAGTCTCATACGGGTACTAATGGAGGTCAATTAGTCTCGACTCATCCCTTATGGGTAGAATTGGAGATCAATTAGTCCCCAACTCATCTCTAACGGGTACTATTAACGATTTAATGATATGTACGCACTTAGTCAATGAAATTTCATGTGCGGCGTTGGCACACAGAGAGTATTCGCCTTACAAAACTGAGCACCCCAGTTCGAATCTCAGCTGGCGCAAATTTTTATTTTTATTTTTTAAAAGTGACTAGTCGCTTTTTATACCCGTTCGGGTATAAAGGTGAACAATTAGTCTCTTCATAGGACATGCTCGAACAAAAGCGATCAATTCATTCCATATAAAGAGATCAAAAGTGGTATTAGTCGCATGCTCCTTTGCGATTGCTCCCGGAGTCATCCCGGATTACTCCCATTTTTTGCAGGATATGTACATACATACATTGAAATTATACCATAGTTTAAAGGCGCAAAAATAGCCCTTAAACCAGTACACGTTTTAAAAAGTTGCGGTTTTTTTAAGAAAAAAGTTTCATTATCTACAATAAAAAAGGCATTTGACGTAACCGAATCTGTTTTTTCTTGCTCACTGTAAATATGCCCATTTAAAAAAAATTCAAAAGGAATGTTGATTGATCGAGGCATTCATAATGCATGCTTTTAAAATTTTTTGGCTGCGATCCCTTATATCAGCCCACAGGCAAATTTTGCAAAACATTTTTTTTGCGCTATCAATAAAGTTAAAAATTAGAATCTTGAAGCTTCGAAATGCTTTTTTAAAGTCTCAATATGACCATGTTTTTACCGAAATATGGCCTGTTTTTTATGAATCATCTGCCCACATAGGTAAAGCCGAGCCAGCCGTTTTGTTCTTTACTATCGAAACCAGATAAATTTTCGTGGACCCTAATTACAACTTGTAAATCTCAATGTTTTTTTTTTCACGTCAACGTAGACCGCTAATAAGTCTCCCGGACGACTTTGGGAATCACTGGTCTAACAGATAACTAAACTTTCCAAAAAGGCCTAGGATATGTGTCTTTCCAATTGTCTTTTTTTATAGCACCTTTATGAATTCATACAGCTTTGGTTGCGTTTTGCCACAAATTTTAAATAATTTTCTATATTATTAAACGTGTGATATGAGGTTTCAGTCGCTCTTAATTTAAAAAACTTTAATTCTGCAATTTTAGTTTTTCGGGCTGGGAAAATAAATCAGATTTGATCAGAAAATTACACATGGAATATAAAACATAAAAGGCGGCTCTAAAGATTAAAATTGTATTCTAGTTAAAATTTGTAAGGCAAGTTTTAGATGGAAGATCTTTATTGCATATTTATCGACGTACCACAAAAACGTTAAAAAATAAGCATACATACCATCCAACTTTGAGCAAAGTCAATACCAATTTATATACATAGCTTATAAATAGTTGTAGTTGTACATACATCTGTATTTAATATAGAAATCCTAAAAAAGATAATTTTGAATTTGAAATTCAGTACAGATTAACTGGCCCCTTAATCTATGATTTGTAATTTTAATTTAATCTAACAGTAAAGTCTACGAAAGCGGCTTGAATATTTTTAGGTAACTCTAAGCATATTCTACTTTTTATTTAAAAATCCATTCATTATAAATTCAAGCTGCTAAATGGGATTGGCCTTAATACTATTCATGCGTTAAGAACATCAAGCTCACATACGCTCCGTTTCAATATAGTTAGTTAATAAAAAAGTTAGTTATAAATTCCCAAAAAGCTTAATTCTGTAAAACGCCGCAAAGTATGTAATCAAACTTTATAAAGCTTATTTGGTTGGCGTCTAAAATATGATTTTCAAAATAAACTAATTTTAGCGGCACAACAAACATATTTATTTAGTTGTGCTTAATTAACGCAACAGTGCATAAACAGCCGACAGCCTCGTCAGGATAAATAATTAGTCCTATCGATGACTAATGGCTGACTAAGTTTGGCTAGAAGGAGAGCGTTCACTGATGATGGCTGCTGACTGTTGGTTGTTGCTTACTGAATCCGGTGCGCCGGAGTGTGTGAGTTTGCCCTATGGCACGCTATGCGGTTTAATGATGCAGAAAGTGCGGTCAAATGCGAAATTAATTTAACGAAAATTACTAAAGGGGTTATTAGAGAAATATTAAATTTTAAATTGTGTAGAGCGAGAAAAGGATTTAGTCTCGTTGCTCTTTGATTTGGCGCTTTTGCCGTTTCGGTGAATGGAGCACGTCGCCGCGCAGTGATGACGCTTAAATTAATTTGTCTCAGCAACAATTATTTCCAAGCGAGTTAACTTGTATCAAAGCGAACAGAGTTGAAAGGGTAGAGAAAGGAGGTGAAAATACATAGTAGTTTACAAGCAATTGTGTTGGATAGTGGATATGGAGGATAAATGGCTAATACATTTTTTTTTATTGGGTTGAAGATAAGAAAAGATGGCAATTATATTCTCATCGCGTCAGCTGTTGCAGAGAGAATTTTTTTGAAGCAGCAGCCCAATGCCTTAGGCGAGTCGTAGATTCCAGAATACTTCATCTTTTTTAACTCTTCTCGCGGCGTGTTAGATGTCAACATTTTTAATGCATTTATCTGGAGACCTGTGGGTTGCTGGTATTGAGTTACCACCTGTAACCAGTTCCGTTGGTCTCTTGGTTGGACTTGACGAAGTCGCTGTGTTTAATTAAGAAGTACGTTCTCATGGTTTTTCCAAAAGATCCTTGTTCTTCCCTTATTTCCTTTTCCTCTCCCGTAAGAGCCTTTGCAGATATAAAAGGCGGGGATGGATCATTAGTACCACGCTTTCTACATCGGGTCTTATATGTTCGGTGTGGCTTACCAGTGACAGTGAATGATCGTCGTCGCCGCGATCCGCACCAGTCTTCTATCCCACTGCGGCCTGCCTGTCCAAAGTTGGCATGGAGATAGTCCTTAATGCCTTCCACCTATAAGCCACGAAGCCTGCAGGTCTACTTCGCAGCCAGGTTATCGCTCTCCGATGACTTTATCGACTTTCATGCCCTCCATAGGACCTAGGCATCGCCTCCCACGGGTTTTATTTTATGCCCGCCATTTTATTATTATTTTTTTTTCAAAAACAGAATTAAATAAGGAGTAACACCTTCAAGGATGGGAGTTTTTCAAATTTAATTAAACTCAAAACTGCATAAAAACTACAGCCTTATTCTGTATCACGAATGATAGGCAACACGAACGATTCGTCTGCAAAGGAATGCTTCAAAAATTTGTCCGGCGGCATCCTTTTAGCCGGTCTAAACGCAACCGAGACCATTGCAACGTAATGTATGAAAGGCAAGACGAAGACGACCGATAGAGTTTAAAATCGCAATCAGAGAGGTTGTCGTCTGCAGACGAATCGTTCGTTTTGCCTATCGTTTGTGATACAGAATAAGGCCCTTAATGTAGGAATAAACAAATATTTTTTATTAGCTCACTGCTGATATGCGTATATCCATCCACCTTTAATAAAACTATCAAATTTATCATAAAAAGCTCGAGCTCTCCACCAACTTTTACTCTCCCCTTTTTATACTCTCCGCCACTGTTGCTGCTCAGCCAAGTCATCCAAGCGGCAACGTCCGTGTCTCCTTACTTATTTGCCATAATTTCTCATAACTTTATGATAAAAACCCCGGCAAACCGAACAGAATGAGAAACAAATTTTCCAAGCCATGACAAGGATGTAGCCAACCTAAAACGACAACAACAAGAGCAACACAATCACATAACAATAAAAACAAATGACAATATCAAGAAACTATGACACAAGAACTTATCAAAAAGTTGTTTACAATTTCTAACTTGAACTTTTCCGCTTCTCAAATTTTTATTTACAGTTGCACAAGCAGCAGCAGCAGCAACAGCAACATCAGCAGGATATGAACGCCCAAAGTAAAGTGCATAAAGACCAATGCCAGACTGACAGCAGTATAGATATGCCGACGCAAGAAGGAAGTCAACAATCGCACTTATAGGATGCTTAAGTGAAAATGTCGCCACGTCCACTAGAGAAAATGCGCTCCGATAGAAAGAGCATGCAACAAGGGCCACACTTGAAACTTCTCACTGAAAAAGCATTGAAGAGAGGGAAAAAAGATCAAAAACATAAATAATAACTAGTCAACAAAAATGTATCGTGCAACAAACTTGCCGCCGGCTTGCAAGCAACACAAATAAAAGTTGTAAATAGAAATATTTTATTATATAACAGTAAAACACAAAATCGACAAAAGTTAAGATGCAGCCACGACTATGTGTGTGTGTGTGTGCGTGCGTGTGTAGCGCAAGTAACTTGCAATGAAACACAGCAGCACAAGCAATAAAGTACGAAGTGATAAATTGAGCTGAAAGCATCAAGACGTTCATAAAAATTTCCACTGGCGAAAAATTTATAGCGCAAGGACTTAGCAAAAAAAGCAATGGATACTCAAACGAAAGCAGTGTTGTATGTGTGTGTGTTTTTTTGTATACCAATTTTTTTTTTAATTTCGTTCGTGCCGCGTTCAGATAACCTTGCCGCCTCGAAATTCTACAGCCACGCGCTGCTGTCACATCCATGCCCCCTGCATTTGAGCTAAATATGTATGTGTGTGTAGATCACGTTTCATATCCTTGTCGCATGCAGCGCGAAGCTCAAGTGCAAGGTTCGCTTATGCTAGTTAAGCGCGAAAATTGAACACATTTCCCCTCTCACTTTTCTTTTCAGCAAATCCCAGTGTTGTTTTTCACCAGCTGCCTCATGAATTTTGAAAAATTTCCGCGTAGGAGCAACGACGAGTCCAGCGACGCTGTGTAGCTCGGATTGTTTTTAGGAGCCGCAACACGTCTGGCAACATTGAGTGAGCGAGTGTTGCACGGTAGTGAAATACATATAAACGTATAGCTAGGCGCCACCATTAAACCCCCTCACCACTCACCGCTCAGTGCTTACCTTGGCGCTCAATGCTTAAAGCATCACGACTCTGTTGCCAGCGCTGAAAGCACGCAAAATAATCGTGCTCGAAGAGAAAATACATAACAAATATGTACAAATAAAAATTAAAATACGATTGTGTTTGGAATAAAAGTGAAATATATAAACGAAAAGAAAGTAACGAAGCGGAATAAAAGTGTATGTAAACGTTGCATTTGCCGCTCGCGTTTTGTCGTCTCGTGCAACCCTGCCGAAAGCCGGTCCTCCGCCAAAATGCAAGTTCAAGTTCAGCGTTCTTGAGCTACTTAAGCTAGCTATACGTACACACATAGCTTGCTTGCTTGCTTGCTTGCCTGCTTACTTGCAACGTGCCACATCTTACGCTTCGTTCGTCGGTCGGTCGGTCGCGCGGTCGTTCGGTCGAACGATTGGCCGTTGTTGCTGGTTTTTTGTTGTGGTCGCGACAGCATGAAATCGAAATCGAAATTGAAATTGAAAATGGCAAACACAAAACAAGGGAACAGAAGCGGCAATAGCACCAGCATCTGCGCTAGTTGCAGCCATAAAAATGCACACAATGCCATTGTTGTTGCCGGTCAAAAGTGCCGTCGTGTTGTAAACATGTCACGCACGTCATCGCTGCCACACAGTGTTGCGCGGCAACAGCTCCGGAATTGTTGTGCCGGCTTCAAAGCCCTCCGAGGATTACTACGTCGCATCGCAGTTTTGTTGGTTTTGTTGCTGTCAGTTGGCGTTTGTGTTGAAGGTAAGTGGCCTGCGTGTTTTCATTTATTCAATTTATTAATTGTGAAGGTTTTTTTAAAAGGAATCAAATCTAAGTTAACTTCTTTACTGATTACATATAGCCAAGTTAAACTCTTGTTGTTCATTTTGTTGATAAGTGAAACTTTAGAACTTTAAGAAAAACTAGTGAACCCGCAAGTGTTAATAATTCATTAAACTTATTGAATAATTTGAATGTAACGTTTTAAACACGTGGCAACGCTCTTCAAACACTCCAAATATTCAAACTAAAGATTTCTTAACCTTCTTTCGTTAAACTCCCACATTTGTATATTTCATATACTTTTTGTATTAGTTAATTAAATTAGACCTTTCAAACAGGTGGCAGCCTCCTTCAAAAGTATTTTCAATCTAAGATCTTGTTAATGTTTTGCTAATAAATTAAAAAAGTTTTGCCTTTTGATATCTTATAAAATAAGAAGATTTTTTAATTTTTAAAGTTTTTATAAGCAAATATACTTTAAGCAAGTTAGTGAAATTTTTTTGTAAGCGTAGTGACATTAGAGCTTAAAAAAAAAATCTTATAAATATTATAAATGTGAAAGTTTGTATGTTTGGATGTTTGGGAAATCATCACGCGGAAACAACTGCCCGGATTTGCATAAAATTTTGTACGCAGATAGCTTATGGGCCAGGTTGGTTAATAGGCTATTTTTTTAAGAGTTGCCACCTGTTAAAAAAGTTTCATTTATTTAATATGCTGGAACGACTGAATGGATTTGCATGAGAATTTTTAGTCAGATAGCTTATGACCTAGATTGGAAAATAGGGTACTTTTCTTAAGAGTTGCCACCTGTTAAAAAAAGTTTCATTAAATTAATATGCGGAAACGACTGAATGGATTTGCGTGAAATTTTGCAAGCAGATAGCTTATGACCTACAGTGGAAAATAGGCTAATTTTTTGGAAGAGTTGCCACCTGTTAAAAAAGTTTAATTAAATTAATACGCGGAAACGACTAAACGAATTTGCATGAAATTTTGCACACAGATAGCTTATGACCTAGGTTAGAAAGTAGGCTACTTTTTTTTAAGAGATCCCACCTGTTAGAAATGTTTAATTTAATTAATACGCGGAAATGAGTGAACTGATTTGCATGGAAGTTTTCACACAGATAGCTTATGAGCTAGGTTGAAAAATAGGCTACCGGTTTAAGAGCTACCACCTGCTAAAAAAGGTTAACTAAATTAATACGCGGAAAAGTCTGAACGGATTTGCATGAAATTTTGTAAGCAGATAGCTTATGACCTACAGTGGAAAATAGGCTAATTTTTTGGAAGAGCTGCCACCTGTTAAAAACGTTTCAATTAAATTAATACGCGGAAACGACTGAGCATGACATTTCGCACAGAGATAGCTTATGACCTATGTTGCAAAATAGGCTACTATTTTAAGAGTTATCACGTATTAGGAAAGTTTAATTAAACTAATACTTGGAAATGACTGAACTGATTTGCATGAAATTTTGCTCAAAGGTGGTTTATGACCTGGATTGAAAAATAGGCTATTTCCTTAACCGGATTTCCGATCAGAACGAAATTGAGTACACTTACTACGGATTTATCATTAATCGTACAGTTGATTACGACTAATTAATTTTAATCGTCAAACGCGATTAACATTTTAATCGTTAATTTTTAATCGTTAATCAGATTAACAGTTTGTCAACACTGTGTGAAATCATATTCACGGAGAAAAATGGACGTTTTTGGAAAAGCGTTTTGGAAAAACGTTTCCCATACTGACTGAAAGTTTCATATTGCATATCTCTTCAAATGTTTGGGGTAAAGCACTCAAGCTTGTTATGGAAATACATATGTATGCAAATTAATTTTTCTATGCTGCATATCTCTGGAGTTGTTTATTGCAGAGGACTGGAAATTGGCACCGAGATGTGTATACAAAATTAATTCCGTACTCGAAGAGAAGAATTTGCGTTATTCGAAAAGGGGACATGGTTCCTGCCGTACAAATTTACTGTTTTATACTTGTAAAAGGCAGGTGATCTAGCAGGCACAGTCGATCGTTGTCAATGGAATATTAAATTTCTTTTCTGAATATATCAGTTTCCTTTTAACTTTTCTCTGATTCATATGTAACTCTTGCTTGAATATACAACTTAAACCGAAGATCGGCGTTTATCCTTGACATACTGCTTATCTCTAGAGATGTTCATGGTAGAGTACTGGGACTTGGCACTGGGGTATGTAAAATCAATTCTAAATTCATGGAAGAAGATTAGTTTTATAAGAAAAAGGGGCGTGGCACTTCCAGTACAAATTTTCTTTTTCTTGCCACATATCCCTGGAAGTGATTGTGGAAGACAGAATAAATTTCATTAAATGGAAAAGGGAGAGCCGGGTTCGGCCTTATAATCTAAAGCTCTCTTGAGGCATTTGCTACAGTAATGAGAAGTGGTATTTTATCAAGGCCAGGTTATTAAATTTGAGTTGGAAATATTAGAACTCGCCATGGCACCTCCAAGAAGGTTACACGTTCACGCGTCGTATACCTGGAAACCTTTTAAGGTAAACTTAGGGGGAGGAGAGAGGAGATTTTATAATTTCATAGTTTTAAACGGCCTAAATACCTTAACTCGCTTAACAAATAACGAGCTATAACGAAATGGGCACAGAAATAAAATCTAACATCATTAAATTACGTTTCCTATTTGCATAAAAGCGCGGGGTGAAACCCGCGGGTATAAGCTAGTATTTTTATAACTTACAATGTTTTTTTTTTAGTTTGAACATTATAAATATTCAAGTTGCATTAAAAATATGTTCCCCATGAGTGTTTTCCATTTCGTTTATATTTTCGAAAACGGCATTTATTCCAGAAAATATTTCTTAAAAAAAAATTGTCAGATTATTATGTGACAAATTTTAACAGTGTATTTGTTTGCTATTTAATTTAAGTTATTCTCTTATAAAAATTTAGTTTATTTTTAACAAAAATGAATGTTTCAAACTTTGCACAAAATTAAAAAACAATCAACAAAGTTTTGTACAAATTTAATCCGTCAATAATGGATGTCAACCGAACTTAATTTTGGGGGCCAGTGGCTGAAATGGTATTACAGATGATAACTGGCAACTAAAAGCTGGCAACTGACTACTGCATTTTTGTGGTCCTACGGAATTTTGATTGAGATTAAAACTGTTTCTTCACCTTATTTACAGTCAAGTCTTAGTTGCTAGAACTTAACTATATGTAGTTGCTATTCATAGAATTTGTCCAACTGAATACTCAGTTTTTTTTCAATCCAAAAGCCCAGACAGCATACAGAAGCGTTTTTGGTATTTATAATATTTTATTTCTAATTGAATGCATTTTTCGTGCAACCCTGCTAGGTATGTTCGATTTGTTCTTTGAGGTACATATGTTTATTGAAGATTATTTGGTGTGAACACCTCATTTAACAGCTTAATTAACTTTTTACTTTTATATGGAAGAAAACGCCTCCCAATATGTACTTTGACCTACTACAATTTAAACCACACATGTTTGAGGAGTTGCGCGAAACCGCAAATATATTCCTCTATTCTATGCGTAGCAAAGATTTAAAATATATGTATAAATTGTACCGCCTGAATTAAATTTTTTTATTTTATTTTATTTTGTTTTTTATATTATTTTGTTTAATTTTTTATTTATTTTTCATTATATTATTTTTAATTTATTTTAATATATTTAAATTTTTATTTATTTCATTTATTTTAATGTTTTATTTTGTTTTATTTTTATTTTTTTTTAATAAAAATTTTTTTCTTTTAAGCTTTAATTCATATTCAATAAATTTTTATTAATGAAAACAAAAACCAAAAACCAAAAATAAATTTTCTTTGGCATTTAAGGGGCTAAAAAACTCTTGAAATTTTCGTCGCTCAAAGAGTTAAATTTTTCTAGAAATTCTGAATAAAAAGTTTAAAATTTTGAAGTTTTATTGTTAAAGTTTGTTAATTTTTTTATAATTTGTGTACGAAATTGGAAATTATGATTTATTTGTGTGGTGCTGCTTATGTAATGTGCTAGACTTTTATAAAAAAAATTATAAACAACAATTAAACAAAAGAAAAAAATAATCAAAACTGTTCAAAATGTCACTTAACTTAATCAGTTGACCACAAGTGTGTTGTTATATTTACATTTGTTGTATGTACGTATGCACATAATGCTGACTGCACACGAGGCAACTGTTGAGGCAACCAGGGCATTTCTAAATAGAGCATACACTACTGAGACGGCCGTCCGTAATGGTTACCTTTACGGTTGCCTCGTGTATAGTCAACATAAAAGAGGGAAATAATTATTTATTCATTTGAAAGAAAATTTATTTTCCTTGGTATGAAGCCACCCACCCACTTACGCTCCATTTGCAACAAATTTTTTTCTTTTTTTTTGCTACATATGATAGCTTTATTACCGCTTTTTAGGGCGAATTATAAGCGCGGCAAGCAATAAAAATGACAACGGCACTTAGCTACTTACATAAATAAATACATTACATATGTATGTATGTATGTATGTATATAATGTTGATAGATAGAAGAAATATACATATGTATGTATGTATGTAAATTACTCTGCAGAAAACAAGAGAATATTCAAGTGGCCAATAGCCGGAGCTGGCTTATTTTTCCTATGCAACCTTATTTTGTTTATAGCATTTATTTATCTATAGACCTATTTGTTTATTTATTTTTTATGCATTACACTTCACCTACAAATACGCCTCTTCACTGGTAAGCTACTAATACACGAGTGAATTATTCATTTCAACATTTCGACATGTGGCAACACCTATACTCTCGTTTTTATGCATTATTTATATAAATACTTGCATATGTATATACTAAATAGTTACATATGATACACACAAAACATACGTACGTAAATACGCAAATGTGTCCACATGAATTAGAGCTACCTTTGCAACGCTTCACATTGGACCAACATTACT